ATTCTTTTAATGGTCACTCTTACTGTGATACAGCAAAAGTTCTTAAAGGGTGTCTTAAGAATAATTCCCCACATATTCAGTTCTGGACCCAGGAAATAATCCCGATTTTAAAATCAATACAATTTGAAAAACATATTATACAAAAAGATGGTTCAAAAATTGTCAAATATGAAAAAATCCCATCTGTTCAGAACTGGATACATAATGTAAATACTATCATAGAACTGTGGAATTATTTACGAAAAAATTTTAAAATAAAAAATATTATAATGAGAAATTTTAACCAGGATCCCCTAGAAAATTTCTTTTGCTGTATAAGAAGTAATGGAATCAGAAATATCAATCCAACGTGCATGCAGTTTATGAATGCATTTAAAACAGTTTTGATTAATAACATAAATTCAAGCCATTCTATTAATGCTAATTGTGAAAAAGATGATTATGAGCAATTGCAATCGTTGAAATTTTTATTGTTAGAAAAATGTGACTCTCCCTGCTACACTGATTTTGCATGCGAAATTGATTCTTTAATTACTGCTTTGAATGAAATAACATCAAGTGAATCGATTATACATGTTGAGGCGAAAAGATATGTTGCTGGTTATATAATAAAAAAATGTAAAACAAATATTTATAAAAAATGTGAAGTATGTAATGTCGATTTACTGGAATCTGAGAGGAATGTTGATTCATTTAATTATGCAATTGATTATACAAAGAAATCTTTATTTTATGCACGCGATGATTTTGTTAAACTTCTCAATGAAATTTATTTTATGATTATTGCATGTTTAAGGGATACACCTCAAATGACCGATATTGATAAAAAAATTATTTTCTTTATTGATTGTCGATGTGATTTTTCAATGATCAGTTGTCAAAAACATAAATTGGTGTTGGTTAAGTATATCATTACGTTATCAATTAATTTAATCATTAATAGTTGGTGCACTGGTGTCAATAGATTATTAAATGGGAAGATTGTTGATTTTGATCGTAATGATGAAATAAAATTACAGGCTTTCAATTATAATAAAATACATCGTAAGAAAAAGTGTTAATTAAATATTTTTCTATCAAATGTGTAAGATAGATAAACATGGTCTTTTTATTTATTTATTTATCATTTTAAAGTAAAGATTTTTGTGTGATAATTTGTCCCATTATAATATACTTGTTAACTTACTAAATATCATCCCAGTAATTCTTCTATGTTGATGTCAGAATTTCTTCCTTACTTGATGAAAAAAAAAATTGTAAATATTTAATTATTCTTCAATCTTTGTATTTTGTCTTACGTTTAATTCTCATCAAAATTTGTTCAGTCAATTTTTACGAGACGTGTTAAGATTGTTTATCTATTTTATCATATTAAGTATCTATGGCTGACTTTTTGTATTTTCAAGTACACACGACTGCACGTCAGGGTACCATGAACTGTCAAATTTCTCTAGTTCATTTTAAACTCTACTTTCAAACTCTTAAGGTTGTAACGGTGCGTCGTACCACCGTTTATTTCGTCCTAAGTTTATCAACTGAAATAGTAACTGTCAATATTTTGCAAACTTAATTAATTAGCTTTATTATTTTAATCATACAAATTGAATATATTTTACATGAAGATAAAAAAAACAGCCTAAAAAAATGATTACTGTAGGTAACATGCATTTCTGATTCCTGATTTTCTTAAGTAAGAGAGAGAATTACTTTTATAGTAATATCTGTAATGGAATAAATTAAGATTATCATTTATAGAAAAAGAGTCGGGTGCTTGAGAAAGAAATATCGTCTAATTTTTTCCAATAATAATAGAAATCACAGTGACCAATGTTTATCTGATTTCTACTATTACCAATAAATCAATTTGATTATTTTATCTTTATAGTTTAGTTACATTTTATTATGTAATTTTATATGATCTGTAATTATATGAATAAAATACGCTAACTGAATTATACTGCTGGTTTGCTTGGAATATAGTATAAAGAAAATTATACATTTGCTCTTTAATTTATAAAAAAATATTAAATATGGGAAAAATATACTATAAAGATTTTTTGACTATATTTTATCCACATATCGACGACACTGGAAAGCAAACACGTAGTAACCCGCAAAACTTAAATTGTTCCTTAGGACAGAATAACTTTTTATTTTATTGAAAAAATATTTAACATCAACAAAACTCTAAATTGATTATTAGAGAAGAATTTTTTCGAATAAAATAAAAAGTTTTTCTGCTTTGAGAACAATTTTGGTTTTGCGAGTTACTAATAATCCCTAATAAACCAAATTTTAAAAATAGTTATCAGAGCCATCTATTAGAAATACTGGTCGTTACTATAACAGGTTAAATAGCATGCTTAAAACTTCGCATAGAAACTAACGCCATCTCTTGGCCATGGCGTCCGCTTAAAATGAAAATTATTCTTAAGTGGCGCATCTATACCAGTATTATGTATTATCTATGCTTACCACTCTGTATCATCTTTATGCGGACGACTAACAATTATATCCTCAGACAAGCGATAAGTTGAACAATGCTACTGATGCATTGATATAAATAGATAGGAATCTTGACGCGATACTCGTATGGCCTTAAAATTTTGACTGACTAGCACATAAGATATTATTATCATCCACTCTTCCTTTTTTGTTAAAGCTATTCTCCTATGGGATGCACTTCCCACGGACATCAGAACGTCCCCCAGTCAGTTTGCATTTAAAACTAAGTTGAGCACTTTCATATGCAATTAGGCAGAATAACAAAAATTGTTATCTCATATATATTATATATAATATTTACCACCGGTTAAAAATCACTGCCTTAGTATAAGAGATTTTAACAGGCTATTAGTACTTAGCGCTTAAAGCTGTTAAGTATGTACACGATAAGGCGTTAAAAATTTAGCGTGTTAACACGCAACGATAATTAACGCCCGCGGCTGAGTAGGCAATAATAGTGTGGGCGCGAACGCTAAAAGAAGCGTGAACTATTTAATACAATCGCGCGCGAGAAGGTGCAAATGTTAATGCACGCATTAACGATTTATTCTCGTAGCATGTTAAATATAATCGTGTATTATTAACATAGTTTAGTTAGTTAATATTTCAAATTATTTAGATTAAATTGCGATTATGTGAAAAAAAAAATTACGTTAAAAAAATTGTAAATATATAAATTATTTTTTGGCATGATTAATTATGGTAAGTACGTATTTATAATAAAGAATGATAATGTTAATAAATATAAGGACAAATATTAGTGAAGGGATGTAAAATTGCATTATGTGGAATTACAAATGTACATACGTCATTTACTTTTATTTTACATATATTAGAATAAAATAATAATAAATTATTGTTTACTATAGCACGCGCTCAGTCCAAAGATCGATGTAATAAATAATGTGCTACGAGATTTACTGTACTGGTCGATTTAATTAATAAATACATAATAAAAAGTTTAGTATGTACTTAACACTAATAAATTAACGCAATAATTAACACGCTATATTTCTCTTAAGATTTAGTCTTTAGCTTGTTAATGTGTTTTAGTCGTTTTATTTAAATCACAATCTTAACAACTTACTGCACTTCTATTTATACATTAGATTCCTGTAAAAATTTGTATAGCAATTTCACACTTTTGGCTATTGATTTCTATGCTATCTATATATATATAGAGGGTTTACCTATAGAAAGAAGTACTTTTCGTTTGTGCCATGCTTGGAATTTTTTTGAACATGATACATGGTATTGAAGTTCTTAATTATTACAACATTTGTATTACGGAGGATAAGGGAAACTAGATAAATAATTAAAACAGTAGATTATTGTATTAATATTAGTGTAACAAAATCAAAATAATGAAAATGAGAGGCAAAAACCAAACATGATATTAATGATCATTAAATAATAAAAAATAAATAATAAAAAGAGGTTCTCTGTTGGGCACAATGTGTATGTATAAGTATATATACACATAGCCATTCATATATTTTGACCTTGCAACGACAAGGCTAGGATCTTTGAAAGTAGATAAAGTATACACTTCCTTCATTTCATTATGTAATATTATTTAATCAATACTATTGATCAATCAGTTAAATGAATTACTATATATAATCTAGATCAATGAATATTTCAATTCACAATTAAATAAATTATAAGAAAATAATCTCAAAATTAATTGATCAAACAAAACAATGCATGTTTTTGTATATGTATTCTGTTATAACTGGTTATATATAAGGAAAATTGAGCTCTATATAAATAACAATTTATTCCTAACCATGTTGCAAACTAGAGATTGGGTGGACTAATTCAGCAAATCATTTGTGGAAGACTCTAGTGGCCAGAGAAAATGAAGAATTGGAGGAAAATGGTGTGATATAGAAATATTTGAACAAGACTCTGTTGATGTGGGCAACAGGCTGGTTGCCTCACTATATGGTATAAAAAGTGACAAAGATTAATATTTTTATAGACTAAAAGTTATTTAATTGCTTTTGGATTTCTACTATGGACCTTATTTTTAGATTCTTAGCATAGATTGGACCAGGATTACTACCATGTACCATTTTTATTAGATATGAACAGAATGGGCCAGGTTTGCTACAATATACTTTATTTTTCAGATATATCATTTATAACAAAGTACTCTGTGGTGAAGGTGCTTGAATATCATGTATTGAACAAAATTAAGATAAATGGTGGTAATCTCAAAAAAAAAAAACTAATCTAATATTAAAGTGAAAAACATGAAAGTTATAACATAAAGAACAATACATCATATCATTGTTAAAGTAGGCAAATGCTAAACTTGTCTATTAATCTAAAGTTCAGCCTTTGTAGGATTATTATGTTTGATCAATTATGTATACTATATGCTGTATTGATAATTGTCTTAGAAAAATTCTTAAACAATTATAGTTGAATATTCATATGGATGAATAAAACAAAAACATTGGTGAATTATTAAAAAACAACACACTAACCAGCTCTGCGCTGCCTTGTCATCTGCTCTCTATGGCACTTGGAGCAGTATCCTTGCCATTGCGGATTCCCATAGTAGTCGCAGCCGTTTTTGCATTTCAAATCGATCTGATCCATCCGTAACGATGGCATCTTTGAAGCGAAACTCATGTACTTGTATGATCTCTGTAAGTTCGGTCCGAACAACATTGTCACAATAACAAATCACAAACCAATTGTTGTTTAGACAAACTTTAATACCCTACACTCGTATAGTCTCCCAAATACACGACAGTTACATTCAACCCATAGTCGAGAGTAGTCACCACAGTTAATTACTATTTTTACCGAAAAATTTGCATACATTGCAGAAGAAGTCGGCGTTAATAACGACCGTTGTATAATTTTCATCGTTATATAGGTTTCCCTTATCGCGAAAATGTACTTGAAAGGTGATAACCAAATGATTCGATGAGACAAACGCACAGTACTTGAGTGAGGCATACTTATTATTTGAAAAATACCAAATAACATTCAATAAAAGAATATCAAGGTACTTACGTTTCGATACTAATAATGTTTCTATCTTTGGATTATTAATTTATGCTCAACTTTTAATTACTTTAGTAAAACCAATTATTTATTTCCATCCACAACCACAACAAAAGCAATTTTTAACTGACTGACGGTGACATTACTTTTTCTCTTTCCCATTATTTTTATGGCATTGGCACAAGTGCTAATTTTGCTTATAGTAAAAGTCACTTTACAGAGTACGATACGTAATATTTTTATTTATGTTCATTTTATTTTGTACGCATTTTCCTGAAGGTCAGATTGATTCTTGGATTCAAAACTCTCTTCCTCACAGGTAAAGAATGATACCATATAGAGTTTGTAGGTGGATTCATAAGTAGAATACTGCCATGCTCTAAAGTTAATTTAACTGGAAACAAAATATAAAAAATCTTTTATACCTCATAAATATCAATACCTTAGTTTCCGGGGCACACTAACAAAGTACACACGGCCGCACGTCACGCTTCACACCATCACCGTAAGCAGGCCTTTGTTAGTAGGGACATTCCATACGAAGCGCGGTCGGTACAAAGTCCACAATGTCAGACTATTACGACGTGCGGCCGTGTATACAGTATTATTGTATTCATATGTACAATTTGTAGCCCATTTTTATAAACAAAACCCCTATAATTATATACTAATATATCTCCCGTATTCGTGACTTTTGTGTATTCCGCGGCATATTTTAAGAATATAGCGAATAAGGAGCTTCTATTTTACAATCAAATGCACATCAGACTACAAAACTTTCAAACTGAATGAGTGGTAGGGAAAAAAATGTTGGAAGAGTCTATTTGTATTTTATTTTTTTTAATTAACAAGTTTATTGGAATAAACATATTTTCGACTTGACTTAAACTATATTAAATATTTTCTCTGTAATATATTAGTATAGCTTACGGTAGTCATAGTGCAAATACAATAAAAAATACTTCTTTTACTGTATTGTCTTTAAAATTAACGAGTTATCTTAATTTGTAGTCTTAAATAATCCTAATGAATATAAAAGTCAAACTAACCGCGACGACTGAGCATATTTAAAAAAATACTCTATAGATTAAGCTCCCTTACTCTGTAACATTTATTTTAACTACCCAATCTTCAGGACGGAAGGAGTAAGGGAGATCAGGGAGGCGACGATCACCTTAGATAAGGTCCCTTGCTCCCTAGGTCTTACTACAATACCCTTAGTAAGGGTAAGGGATTCTAAAAATTGGGTAGTGTAATAAAGCTTTTACTCTTAGCCCGCGTTTTTGTGAAAACAAAATTGATGTAGGGACATGACAGTAGGTAACCATAGTGATTCAATCACAACATCGATAACGAAAATAAAGTGCGTTTTGACCGTGTTATTAAATAAAACGTCTAAATGGACTATTTTCAAATAAAGGATGGACAATATACCAAAACAATTTATACAATGGTAAGAACAACAAAAATTGCTACTTTTTATGTAGTTAAAACAATGATGTTTTAATAATAAAACGTCATTGAGTTAAAAGGGTTGTTTGCCTGTGGCAAGCAGTTAGATTGCTGGTGATTGAAAACATCAAAATAAAAACAAAAAAGTCTTACTTATTACACATATAACATGGAAACCGTAGTAAGGATTTACTTAAATTTTCTTTATCAAATCATACGTACCTAGCTGTAGAAGGTCCGCTGAATTTCATTAATCGATACAAAGCCTTAACATTGAGTTATCCAGCCACGTGGAAGTAAACATATTAAAAATATTATTTAGTTTTTTAATAATAAATAGATAAACGAAATATAATTGACGTATAATGTCATTGTTGATAACGTGTCTAGGAACCGAACTCGTTTAACGGGCCGAACGATAAGATTAACGACGATTGGACAATGATAAGAATATAAATTCTATTGACATTTTTAGTAATATAGTTACCTAACAATATTTCGTAAAACGCTTGCAATATCAATACGTTATAAGAATCGCTTACCGTAATTATTAATTTTAATTTACTTCTCTACATGTTTTGTTAGTCAGAGCTGTACATTGTCTTGATCTACATATTATACATCTAAGCTTAGTAAACTTATGCCGAAATTAGACGTTTAGTTTTCGTAGTTTCATCGATGAAACCTTGGAAATAAAAGTCGTTCATAGCTTCTCGTACATTTTCGATGAAACGTATAGAAGGCTTTAGAAAAATTATTTTCAGTAGACTAAGAAATGAACGCGTAAGCTTTGTCACAATAGTACAATCTTATTATATTACGTACCAAGAATAAGAAGACTCATCCCCATAATACATGTTCGATGACCTTTTAACATCCACTTGTCATTTATTAATGCACTTTGATTACAAACTTAATCTGTTGATATAATCAAATAAGATCCGTTTACGCTTATCGAATCAAGTCGAGGTGATGAATGACGTAGAAATGATGCCGAAATAAAATATACCGTTATTCTAATTACAGTTTATATGTTTCTTTCTTTCCAGATAAAGGAAGCTAGATTCGAAGATGCAATAAAAGCTCTAAACGATGCAATTAATTTTAATCCAAGTCGCGCAGGTTTATCACTACTTGGATATTGTTATTTCAGAACTCAAGCTTTTGTGGAGGCAGCAAATTGTTATGAACAGCTCACGGCTTTGCATCCAGATATTCCAGAATACAAATTATATTTTGCTCAAGCTTTGTACGAAGCTTCCATGTTCGAAGAGTCCTATAAAGTAACAATGCAAATAAACGCCCCGGAATTGGAAAGGAAAGTCGCTAAGCTCCAATCTGCAATAAAATATGGCGAAGACGATACTATATCAGCTAAAAGTCTTGTTGATACTTATCCTCAGGAAGATCCAGATAAAGATATCAATCTGGGATGTTTACTATATAAAGAAAACCAATACGAGGAGGCTTTACAAAAATTCTCAAGAAGTCTGAACGTATTAGGATTCAATGCCCATCTTCATTATAACATTGCTTTGTGTTATTTTAGACTCAAAGAATATCCTCAAGCTTTAAAACACATAACATTAGTTATCGAAAGAGGTATAAGGGATCATCCTGAGTTGGCAGTCGGCATGCAAGCCGAAACGTCTGAAGTTAAATCTGTTGGAAACACGTTAACACTTCATGGAACAGCACTAACAGAAGTGTTTAATCTAAAAGCTGCAATAGAATACCAGTTAAAGAATATTGAATCCGCAAGAGAAGCCTTAAGCGATATGCCTCCAAGACATGAGCATGAACTGGATGCAGTGACTTTACATAATTTAGCTTTGACTTCTATTGATTTAAGACCCACGGATGGTTTTGAAAAATTACATTTTCTCTTGCAACAGGATCCGTTTCCTCCAGAAACCTTTGCTAATCTATTACTGCTTTACTGTAAATTCGAATATTTCGATCTTGCCGCCGATGTCCTTGCAGAGAACGCTCAGTTCACTTACAAATATTTATCACCATATTTGTACGATTTCCTTGATGCTATCATAACGAGCCAAACTTCTCCAGAAGAAGCCTTTCAGAAATATGACGATATTGCATCAAAGCAATCGGAGCAATTACGTAAACTAACGAAAGTAGTGCAGGAAAGTCGTGCACAAGGGGACAATGATCAAGTAAAAAAAGCCGTTGTGGAATACGAAGAGGCTTTAGAGAGATACATACCAGTAGTGATGGCACAGGCAAAAATTTACTGGGATATGGAAAATTATGGGCAAGTAGAAAAAATATTCCGTAAGTCAGTGGAATTTTGCAACGAATCTGATGTGTGGCGACTTAACGTTGCACACGTGCTGTTCATGCAAGAAAATAAATACAAAGAGGCTGCAAGTTTTTACGAACCTATAGTAAAAAAACAATATGATAATATTTTAGATATCAGCGCAGTTGTGTTGGCTAATCTATGTGTATCTTACATTATGACATCTCAAAACGAAGAAGCAGAAGACATAATGAGGAAAATTGAAAAAGAAGAGGAGCAGCAAATCTTTGAGGATCCACAGAAAAAGTTCTATCACTTATGCATAGTCAATTTAGTTATAGGTACTTTGTATTGTGCGAAGGGAAACTACGAATTCGGTATATCTCGAGTAATTAAATCTTTAGAGCCATTCAATAAGCGTTTAGGCACCGACACTTGGTTTTACGCTAAAAGATGTTTCGTATCGTTTCTCGAGAACCTCGCTAAACATTTGATAGTTGTTAAGGATAACACCATAAAAGAATGCTTGCAATTTCTCGAGGGATGCGAGACTTACGGTAGAGGTGTTAACACAGTCATTGAAAGTCCTTTCCAAGAGGAAGATGCTAATACTAAAGCTAAGCAAACAGTAACTTATGAAGCTCGCCTACTGCGCTATATGTTTTACAAACTTAGAAACATAGATGATTCTGTTACTATAAATAAGTATGAGGATTTGAAATAAATTACCCGGTGGTATCGGTATTTTGGCACCAGCTGATTTTCTAGCGTCCTTGTGTTTTAAAATGAAATCTCTATCTTGTCCTAAAGAAACGGATGTGATAGGGTAGTTCGAATCTAATTCAGGTTCGTTGTCTCTGTGTTCCCCCATGTGGTCATTGCCATTTCTATATCTGTAAAAAAGATCAGATAACACGCATTGAGGGCATTTAAATTCGAGATAGATAAGTACAGTAGCTGTGAAAGATAACTTACTTGTTTACCAGAACAAATTCGTACTTTATGCCTTTCAAAGTAGTCAAGAAATCCCTTAGCGCTAATACTGGAGTCGGCCAAGGGAGGGCTGGAACAGTGGTTCCTGAATAAGAATAAGTTATTCCTGGACCACCATAAGCTACTTGCTGACGGGGTAGCGGGTAGAGTTTACCAAACACCCTAAAACAATTTAAAGATATCGATGTTCAATCAGTTATTATTTTAAACGCACTGTAGGAAAAGATAAAAGAAATAAACATACCTGACTTGTGATAATTCGCCTGTGAAATATTCCAAGCTTTCGTCAAGTTCCTTGAGTAACTCATTTGCTATATTTTTCGGTATAGCTATAGTGTAATCAAGATCGAGACCTTGGTCTTTAATATTTTTCCAAGTTATAGAACTTAAATCAATAGTTTTTAATTTATCCATCGACTATGACAATATAAACTCTTATAGAGGGTTATAAGCCGCTAGAAAATCTAAAAAGTCATCCATTCATAATTAATCTCTTCAAAAATTTTGAACTTCTAGCTTACACTTGTTTCGACAATGATTTTACATAAACTTTATGTAGTATATATCATCGACAAAGTGATTAATAATCAGGTATTCTAAATAATGCCCGCGCAGTGTGTAAAATGCACTAATGAGACGGAAATGTGATAAAAACTATAGAAATAATCAAAAGGACCGGACACTATTTGTAATGCCCATTACCTATCGGCCAGCACAATTGAAACGAGGTCTTAAAATTACGGCGTTAATTTTATTTATAGTATAATCAGCTTAGCTTTCGAATAATCAATCCTACGTCGTTTATATTAATAGGGATATACTATCTAGAGATGGTGGATAAAGATGGTCAGACGATCGCGAAGCGTAGCATAGGGATGTTATTTTAAAAGAAATAGGTAGATGTTTTTTTTTGTTTTAAAAATAACTTAACTAGATTATATAAATAAACTACAATTATTCACACATTAATCGTTACCAGAGAATAGCATCATTTAATTCATTTCATAACTGTTTTAAACTAGTTGGTTACAACCATGCTACAATATATGTAGGGATTTTTGAGACCTTTAACTCACACAATTAAATTGTTAGGGGTTAAAGTATGAAATTGCCGTTTTATTGTAATAGGTTCCTTGAATAGACATAGAATCTTCATCGTTTGAGGTTTTCGAAAGAAACCTTTTTCACATGGTTTCTATGATGTTCTTCTTTTTAAAAATGTGAAACATTTGAATATCGATTTTCAATTGTTTTTGTTATTCAACTTAGACAAGAAAGACGGATACTGCGAAAATTCGAGTGATTTTTGAAGCAGAAACACCCCGCAATATCAATGTTGCGTTTGGAGAGGGGTCTGCTAATGAACGCACAGTGCGAATGTGGTTTAAACGCTTTCGTGATCGAAACTTCAACTTGAAGAACGAGCCACGAGGAAGACCGCCCACACAGGTGAATAACGATGAATTAAGAGAGATGGTGGAAGCCGATCCTAGTCAAACTACCCAGGAATTAGTGGCATGGTTTAACGTTACCTTACCCACAATAATGACTAATATGCGTCAACGCAATAAAATAAAAAAAAATACGAAAAATGGGTGCCTCATGATTTGACTGATCTGTATAAAGAAACGCGTGTTGAAACTTGTGTTGCCTTGTTGAACTGGTACAGAAATGAAGGAATATTGGATCGAATTGTGACTTGTGATGAAAAGTGGATTCTTTATGATAACCGTAAAAGAAAAATGAATTATGGAAACTGTTTGGTGGTCTCAGCATGGAGTTATTCACTATAGTTTTCTCTGATCTGGTCAAGCAATAACGGCAGATGTATATTGTGCCCAACTCCGAACAATAAAAGCAAAACTAGCAGTAAAATAGCCCCGACTCATGGATCGATCTTCACCATTATTGCTCTGTGACAACGCGAGACCTCATACAGCACGAAAAACCGTTTTGACCCTTCAGGAACTGCAGTTAGAAACCATTCATCATCCTTCATAGTCTTTCTCGTGCTTAGGAAGGCATGTTAGCCGTTAGTCCCGGTTGCACTTGCAGTCGTTACTGCCCTCCAATCTGCATTGTGCCAGCACGGAGGGTCATGGCTCATTCTCCTTAACCATCCTTAAGGAAGACCTGAGACCCTGCACTGAGGACATAAAAGGCATGTAGAATAATTAGGACAAAACATCTTTTGCATAAAACATGGTATATTTTATTCGTCTTCACATATAAACAGCCTCTAATAATCACATATGTTTATAATAACAAAACAACTTTTACAAATACATCTCATGGGAATATTTGCAAAAATTTCTTAGCATATCTTTAATGAAATATGCTTAAAAAATTATTAGTCACCTACACACAACCCACAACCATTCACAATCTCGGCGACTGCTCTCACCATTGAGCTTCTCTTAATGTATTTCTAAAGCTGTTATTATTACTTTCACTGATGACAGCAGTGACCGTTTGTTCATCAACATTCATGGAATCTACCCAAACAGTTTTTAACTCTTTGGTTAACATGAAAATTTGTGTTACTATTAATACCTATATATTATAATTGCGAAAGTTAGTGTTTGTCCTAACTCTAGGACGATTATATGAACATTTTCATTAGTGTTTGAGCTCGGTGGCGTAGTGGATAAGCGCCGCGGCCCGCGATCGTAGTCGTTAAGCAACTTTCGCATGGGTCGGTCACGGGATGGGTGACCAAAAAATTATTATCTTGAGCTACTCCGTGCTTCGGAAGGCACGTTAAGTCGTTAGTCCCGGCTGCATTTGCAGTCGTTAATACCCTCCAATCCGCATTGGGCCAGCGTGGAGAGTCATGGCCCATCCTCCTTAACCATCCATAAGGAAGGCCTGAGCCCCTGCAGTGGGGACGTAAAAGGGCTGGTGATGATGATACTTTAATCCCTAGGCACTGTCGTTTAATAAAATGTTATTATTATGGATTTCTAAACTTACTGTTTGTTTGTTGTATAAAATATGCTCCTGTCCGATTAGTTATCATTGCTCATGTTCTCTTATAAACTTCGTGTTATAATAATATAATATTTTAAAAATTTGCCTTTAAATAGGGTAGGGGTTGGTATCTGAAGTAAAATTATAAAAAGTTGGGTCAATATTCCAACAATAAATACATCTATTGAAACATAAACGATGCTTTTGAATATACATACATTGATATTATCGAACGGCATTCATCTTCTTCCCGGGATTATTTAGTTTTTTACTGCTTGCTATTTATCCAAATATTATAAATAAGTAGTAATAGTAGAAATGGTTAATGGTGGGCGTAATCGATTACCTTTAATCGAAAAATCGATTTTTCAAATAATGAGTTTCTCTTGATTACGATTAAAACGTTAGCAATTAAGAATAGTTTAAAACGTTAGAATAGTACCTACTGACTTTACTTCGATGGCTAAGCAACCCATAGCGGATCGCGAGTGTGAATATTATTAGTAGATATTCTATTACTTATTATGGCAACCCTGGAACTCTCCCACCAACAAATAAGTAACTTTACTCTTTGGTCGGGGAACTCCCCATGAATGAATGAAAGGATCTTACAGTTTTATTTTAACAAATACAAATTAACCGTTCCTTACTAAATGCACATGTAAGTATACACTGTACATACCTATACCAAAATAATATTCTTTTTATTTTTTGTATGTGTGTTTGTTCCGGCTAAACTATGATACGGTTAGACCAATTTTGACGGGACTTTCACTGACAGATAGCTTATGTAATAAGGAATTACTAGGGCTACTTTTCACGCAGACAAAATTGCCGGTACAGTTAGTTTAATTCTATAAAGTTTGCATGGACAATGCTGGTATAGTAAACATTGTCTTAAAATTGATTTTTGACTTTTCATTAACTTGGATTGCTTTAAAATACGGTGGAATTAATCTGAAATTATTAACTTTTGGGGTAAAAATATTTAATAATCATTGACATGAATCGATTATTAATCATATTACGAGTAATAATATAATCGATTAATTGATGTGTATAATAATCGAATCAGCACATCTTTTAGTAGTAGTAGTAGTAGCTTTGTCCATGGTACAGGCAAAGGAACTACGCCATACAACCAAAGAGAAAAATAATATATAGGGCATACAGCTAAATATTGGGTACCTATATTAAATAAGATATCGTCGACGTTTGGCATTAAAAATCAGTTTGATTTTACGCATACTTATCTAGGTTAGACAATAAGAAGTATTTGAATTTATCAATATTATTACACTTGGGAATGGTAATTTTATGTTTAACTCATTTCTTCATTCAATTTTACGAATTACTAGATATTCAACTTTTCCGGTTTTCTTTCATGTATTATAAAAGTAAATTAATTTTCAAAACTCAATAAACAACTAATATTCGGTTTGTACTTTTTCGTATTCGTATTGACATCTAAGTTTTAAACTTTGCCAATTTCAGTTTTTTAATATGTTAGATAAAAGGAACGGAAATTACTATATTTCGTCCATTCGTTTCTTGCAAAAATCAACTTTTGTACTTTGGTAGGGCCGCCATCTAAAGAGATAGGTACTTCCTCATAAACCATCGCAGCCATCTTAAGCAGAGAGAGTGGAAATCAGTGTTGCCACCACTATAAAAATACTCATGAATGGTTGGTTACGAACATAATTTTATTAATGTATAGAGTTCCTACAAACACTTTACGTTTTTACGTTTGAACTTGAAATCACACAAGGTTTGTTATGGGCGTGACCAGCTTAGGAAAAAAAAGAAGCAAAATCTTCATCTTCCGTTTCTCGGTCCTTTTAGCGCTTAGCCTATTTTTATTAGGAATCGACTAATTTTTATTTATTTATTTATTGGTATGAAATTTGTAGTAATCGATGAAAAAAGTTTAAAAAAACAATAAAATGAATGTACATATATTTTTCGATAAAGTAAATAATATTGAAAATAAACCACAAATAATAAATTCACACACAAAGTAAAGAGCGCGTAGGTGTAGATGGTGTTGAAGTTGGTATCACATTCTTGTTATTTAGTAAGAATCTTTGAAAAGCTTCTGATCCTGTTAGAAACCTTTCTTTCGAAGAATTTAGGCATCTGAATCTGACGGTATTATAATCTTCAGTTACAATAGTTCTTGAACTAAAAAAAACAAACCCTTCGTTTATCTTCGTATGCTTGGTTAAATGGAAAGTTGGTAATTTATATGAAACATTTTTATTTTGTCACTACAAGTAAAAACTTATTTAGAAAAACCAACCCAAAAATAAAGCATTTAAATAAATAATAAAGTTTTATTAATTTATAAAAAAATGCTTCAAATTTTTTAAGCATTTTCTTTAAGAATATTTTTCCAGTATAGCATTGTGAATGTACAATTGATCAAATACAATAAATTTAAATCCTTGATTTAGATTGTACGTATGCGCGTCTGTTCTGCGCGCGTTAGTTTAAAAAGCAGTTTCTTATACCTAATCCACAATGTTTCAAACTTGTGTTAAATCAAGGTCTTATAAAAGTTAGTTGAAGTTGAAAAATATGTATTTTAGTACCTACCTAGAAAAGTCCAGTAAACAATCTTTGTCATGATAAACAGAATATTGCCTTATTCTACGTATTGTATCGCCGTTGTCCAAATCAGAATCAAAATCATATTCATATAATTTTTCGATAATTCCATCTTTATCTTTAACGGTCCAGATACATTCACCCGGCAGACCTTTTAGCTTTGGAGCTTCCGAAATGATGGGAAGCAAAATCGTATTACTTCGACAAGATTCCGTTTCCTTTATGATGGGGGAAGTAGGCCAAATTCTTACATCTTTGTCTCCGTCTGATCGATCCAAAGTAAGGGGCATGCGATTTTTTTGCAAAAATTTACGCACTTCTTCCTTGATGTCTGCATTTATAAAACTTGCCCTAGGTCTCACAAGGAAACGGCTACAATAAGCCATTAGATCATTATTCTTAGAATTGTAGACTTGTTTAATAATGTCCACAAGATCTTTTTCCACGTTTTCTTTGTCTTTTGTTAGCCTGCGTAGACGTGTTTTTAAGAATATATTTTCTTGATGTGTCATCAAATATAAGTGTTGAAAGTTAACGTATTTTGATCGATTTTCTTTAACTTTCTTTTGCGTATCCTGTATATATCGAAGGAATCTGTTTTTTGCCATAGTTTCCATTTGATATTGTATTTTTAAATTGTTATTTTCGTGAACAGCTGCCATCAATAGCAAACCCAATCTCTTTCGTTCTTCAATAATCTCTTTGATTTTTTTCAGTAATACAAAATTTGAAAAATTTCTATTATCTTTTACAATAGTTGCTGCACTACAACACGTTAGTATTTTAAATATGCACCATTTGAGCTTTTTCCAGGTAATTCCAATGTATTTTTTTAGTGCAACTATTACCAATACGCCAAGTTTATTGGCAGTATTACCGTTCTCAGTAACAATTGCTCTCATATCGATTTTGGCAATTATATTTTTAGTATAAGTTATAATTTCACCTTTTTTGTTGAATACAGACACCGCAATCACTCCAGCAAAAAACATCATATAATGTAACACTGTCGTATCATATTGTTTATGTATGTTTGTTTGGATTTGAACAATCGGTGCATCTTGCTGGGAGTCTGATGTGTTGCTATACAATAAATCAAATTTACTTATTCCTGAAAATATAAAAGAAATCTAAATGAATTGAAACCTTATGTAGTAACATCATATCGTGATTGCTTTTGTATCGATCTCCGTAGCACGCACACCAAAATCCAGTTTTGAGGCTTTTACTTTCAGGAATTTATTGGGGACAATGCGTAATGCAATTTACCTGTCATCAGGTAAGTGACAGAGTTATGTGCAGTGCAAGGCATATCCATATCCACCCGAAAATATAAAACATCACTATGCCTTGTAAGACTGGTAAGCTATTCTACGAGCACTGAACCACCATATGGGGACTACTTTTGAGCGGCCCCTTGTAGGGGTTCGAGAAAACTGAAGTGAGCTTTCCTAAAGACATGTGAAACCGGGGAATGCAGCTGCTTCTATTCTTGCAAACCCCAACAGATGGAAGGGATACTTTAAAACGCCATCGCAGATTTTATTTGATAGATCTCCCTACCAGTCGTATCAGTGATACTAGGCTAGTTACTATGTCAAATCAAGCATTGGTAAAATGTAATTTTTTAAGATTGTCTAAGAAAAATATGAAATTCATGATCAGCGATAACCACTTATAATAATTACCTTTCCTTATAATTTCCTTATTATGATTAATATAAACATCAATGATACACATGGCTATCCACATGGCTACGGCTAGCCCTACGAGCCATTTAAATGCAATATACATTATCTAAATTATCTGTTGATCCTTATTAGAGAAATTCAGGTCCCATCAAAATTATTTTGAGTTTGTACAGATTGAGTAACATAAATTTTAAGTAAACCCTATCTAAACTTTAATTAGCATATTGATACAAAAACGGTGACATAAATTATGACGGCTTCAAAGAACAATAATATAATTATATTGGTATTTGTCTTTTATCTAAAATCATCAAAAAGGTTTTTATAGAATTTTACACAGGTATAGACCAGCGTTACCCAACCTGTGGTCTGTAATGTCTATGAGGCCTCACCAATATCACTGGGCCCCACAGAGTCCTTACCGCTCGAATTTGCGCCCGAAATCGCAACTCAAATCAAAACCTGCAATATCTGCACCATCTTTCACAGTAACTTTTACAAATTGTCTAAAATATATCTTTAAAAAACCCTTGATTTATTGTTTGATGTTCTTAGGGGTCTGCATAGGTAGGTATGGACAACTGATTCTTAACCTTTTGTGCAAAAACCAAACGCACGAGTCGCTAGACACAACAACTACTTAATGTTATTGGATTTTAATTCCGCTGCCGCACATAAGTCGTGTAAAGAACTCTGCGGACCCCCAAAAATAGTCGCTGATCCCTAGGGGTGCGCGTACCACAGGTAGTTTACCAACTAGTACCCATCGGATTTTAATATATACTTTAGCCACACTCAGTAAGCTAATTATATGACTATAATAAACGACTGCTCAAAATAAAGCAGTATATAGTAATGTTATGTAAGTATTATTTGTGAATTTTTATTCCATTATACATATATTACTTATGAACTTATACGGATATAAATTTATAATAAGGTATCATTTAACCTTATATCATTCACTGTCTATATTATATTGTGTATATTATTCAATATTATGATGGATATATGACGTCATTTAAAAAAATGAAAAGTAATATTATAATAAATAAATCATAGACATATGTCTGTTAATTAAAGGTCTGCAATGTTGGGTCCTTTACTATTACACGGTATACTTTCCTCGGATCTCTCTGTCACTCACTTTACCACGCGTTAAAATTTTAATTTTTAAAATTTGCAAACCCTTATTAGGACCGAATTTTTTGCAGACAACCCTACATCAATGTGTTCGTAATGAAACAGCGCTTATGTTGATATAAATTTTTTTTTTATTATCAAATCAAGTGAAATTAACTGGCATCGATATACCTGTTTATACCCGACAACCCAGTAGTTCGTCCAGGTAAATAATAGATAACCCAACGTCTGCACATTCTATATGTTTTATACTTTAAGTCAGAATTAAATTTTTCTTATTATCTTGATGGTGCAACATTTAATAAAAAATTCTTTTTTAAAAAATAATTAAAAATATTCTGTCCAGGATTTTTTTAGCGAACCCATTTTTCATATATTTTCTAATATACTAAATTAATTATACAATAAGTTTTATTCCATTATCAACCCGGTGAAGGTCGATTTAGGTTCGGATCTTCTACTATGTTGACAAAATGTAAATTTCATGATGTTGATATTATTACATATAACAAAATTTATGAGAAATATAGATCAAAATTAAAATAAATCAGAAAACAAAATTAAAAACCATTTATAAAAGATCAAGTTATAGATTATTTAAAACTGCGTGTTTTCGCATGCAACTTCTTAAGCCTCCGATTCGTCTGTGACGTCACAGCAGCGAACTCGAGATCGTCATACTACATATTAAATAGAAGTCTTTGCAAAACACTTCTTATTTTCTACTTATTGGATGCCCTAACTTTGCTTTTTAGTTATTAATAGACATTAAATTTTATTTATTTTTATATTTCTATAATAATATCAAGAAAAAGTCAGAAGTGTACATATATATTTTATAACTTGCAAAAGGTTTAATGAGTTACTTTTAATGTGTATTAAACTTGTTTGGATACCAATCAGTATAAAAAGGCAAGCACAAGACAGACTCGCATAACGAGGGATGAGTTTGTACTAGTTAGGAAACCAATAACAGGCAATGGTCGTCTAAAGAAAATATGCATGAAAAAATAAGCACAGAAACAGCGCTTTCCGCTAAATGCACGCTCTATCGACCAATGGACATGTGCTTGCAGAACTGGATAAACCAATGACAGACCATGATCACCTACTGAAAATAAGCATAGTGGCGTATTGTAAGCAAGCATCCTATTAATATTATAAAGGCGAAAGTTTGTAAGTATGGATGTATGGATGTTTGTTACTCTTTCACGAAAAAACTACTGGACGGATTTGGATAAAACTTTACAGCAATATAGGTTATACATCAGAATAACACATAGGGTACTTTTTACTGGGAAAACTTCTCACTCCCACGGGATACCGACTTCCACGCGGACGAAGTCGCGGGCGTCCACTAGTATTGTAATAACACAATGTAGGTAGTAACGCATAAGTGGTCTTCAGCACTTTATTTAAGAAAATATTAAGTAAAAAAGAGCAACTTTGCAATAGCAACACTGTGGGTTTCTGTTAGCGCCGGCTTCCATTTTGGCGGGAGATTGGAAGTGTGCTTCTTTAAACCATAAAATTAATACTGTTATAAGAAACCCTGCAATAGCAAAACTGTGAGTTTCTTATTAGCGCCGGATTTCATTTTTGACGGGAGATTGGCACGCTTTTTCAAATCATAGAATTAAAAATACTTTTATTACACTAATTGAAACTAATATTGAGTGGAAATGCAGTCAGACAGCGATGGAGACATTTTTAGCGAAAGTTCTCCAAAAGAACGAAAAAAAAAGAAAAAGAGTTGAACCTGGAGCCAAGTAGGCGTCCGAAATAGAAAATGAAGACAGCAAAATAAGTATAAAACTCACTAAAATGGCTATTTATAGACAACGGAAACGGTGATTACACTGTTTATGTCTCCTTAGAAAATAGAAAATAAATATCTGAATTTACTAACAAATCTATTCTCCAAAAACGTATTGCAGAAGAACATCATATCAACACTTATAAAATTTATATTACTTTTAAAAAATCAGTTGTTGCCAATGTTTTTTGAAAATAGAGGATTTTCTCTCAAGACATTAATTAAAGCATTTATTCCTTCATATTTAACAGAAAAAATTGTATTATTAAATTTGTACCAAAAGATTTGAGTAATGAGGATATCCATAAAAAGATTTATGAAAAAGATTACTAATAAATAAGAACCACTTACCACAGTAGCAGTCACTTTTAGGACCACTTGCTTACCTCAGTATGCCTACATAAGGTTATTCAGATACTGAATACATCTCCAGTACTATAATATTTTAAATGCCTTAAGTACAATCAATTAGTAAGTGTGTAGAGGAGTCCAAAATTTATAACATTATAACCTGTATATGTTATAATGTTATTTGCAAAGCTATGTCCTAATTTCAAAAAAGTGCTACACTTTTTGCACTTCTGTTGTATTGGATAGCTTCTCCAGTTATTAAACTCACTGACACACTTACAATACGTTTGCCAGATACTGTATTATGTTTTGGCTAAACAAAATTTTCATTGCATTTGTAATCTAAAAGATTACCTGACTGTTATAAGAATTTTGTTGAGTCATGCCATAATACTTGTTTCTTTCAAACTTAAACTGTTCCGCTGTTAAGTAAAAAAAACAGATGATTAAGTAATCCGTTTAGCTAAACAACATTTAAAATGTATGACTATTTTATTTTACACATATTTTTGAATTTAACTTTCAAAGCTAGTCCTAACAAAGTTATATTTTTCTTGTACCATTCTTTATTATAAGCTATGTGTGATTTCCAATTTTTGTCTAAAAAGGCTTTATAAAATATGCTCATTTCATCTGCTGAAAGATTATCTTTGCCATCTGGTAAATTTTTCCTGAGATATTCTTCCCGTTCCTGGTAACAAAACAGTAATATATGATAGCACAATAATCAGATAAGTAGAATGCAATTATGAATACGTCATAAATTATAGGCAGCTCCAAAACAATGTTATTACATAATAGTATATTAACCCATGGTAACAGTAACATGTCAGCAGTATACTAATATAAGACTGTTTCAAGTTTCTTTATGTTCATAAATTATATTTGAAATTTAAAACTTATAATGAAACAACAGTTACTTTTATTACTTACTTAACCACATAGACTTAAATTTAGTTAATGACTATACTCTTGCTAGAAGGTAACAATCAATCAACATTTTTTTTATATTAACAAGTCATTTAGTAAATACCTGAAAAAATCTTGAATTATGTTGAGTCCAAAAGTTTTGGTTCCATTTTTGGACGTCTCTTCTCATTTCTCTATACTTCTTTTCCAGATCCGTTTCATTAGGTGGTTCTTTAAATATTATTTTTCTTAAATTAGATATTGGATCAGGTGGTCCCACCATATCACTGCTTATACTTTTGGGATTGGGAGTCTTTAGAGAGTTTGATTCCGATGAAGTATTTAAATATCGTAGTAATATTGAGAACCCATTTTGTGGCCTACGGGCCGTGAAAAGATAAGTATGAATAATAATTTTCATTATTTCGTTTTAAATGCAAGTACCATACATTAAGATAGATTACAGGTTTAACTAAGTGTTCTTTTTCTACTTATCTTTTATTCCCTTACAGATTTTTTGCGCCTATTTTCACAAAGAACATTTATCTATGACATTTCCCCAAAAACATCTGAAATATGTCAACTTGGTCTGTCAATTCCATCAAAATTCAAATGTCAGTTTCACCAGAGTTGCTATCGATAATGAGGAAGTATTTAAAAAATAAAAATTCTTGAAATCATACTAAATAGATGTCACTCGCGATGTTTGGATTTTGTTAATGATATTCATTCAAATTTTGTTTATGACGTAATAAAAGTAAATTGAGTATCGAAAATTAATAAATGTGACATTGTTATGTGTTTCTTTTTTTTTTTTTTCCTCATAATATGGCAGGCACGGCTTGTGCATTTTGCCTATGTGTTTCTTATACTAGCTAACTTTCAAATTCATTTTTATTTATTTTAATCGTAAGTTTAAGTTGTTTATTATGTTACGTGTAAAGGAACGATGTTTGGTTTATACGTCAACATTAGTGATGAGCAGTGGTTGGAATTAGGTAGAGTTATGAATGTACTTACACTGATTTCATACAGCGAAAGAATAAAGTGGATATGCCTCAAATCCCGAGATTGATTTTAAAGAGCAGAAAAAATCCACAATATAATCTAATTAAGCTTATTTCTTAACATCTGTAGAAAAAACATGTTTAGATTTAGTAAAATAACGTAAAGAAAATGCAATATTTTTAGGAATTTATTCAACGACGAAAACGTCCTATAATTGGTCGTCGTCACAACCAATCACGATTCTGTTTACTGGCCTGTGACGTCATCAGCTGTCATGTCAAAGTAGTGTTAGAAAGAAACATAAAATATCGATGCCTGTAGGTATCGAGTACTTTATAGTAATTTACTGATAACATAATACTTTGCCGCTTCTACTGATAAGAACAGCCAGAAAGAAATACAGAAAGAAAGAATCGTTTACTAAGCTTTTTAAAAAATCCAAGAAATAGGGTAAACGCCAGCAATTTAAAAAGAGCAACTTACATGTTTTTCTCATTTCTTGAACTTTAATATAATAATACAAAATTACAAAGTCGATTTTGATGATATATATAGTGTTCTGCAAGTTAAAAACTAATTTTAAAAAATCATCGGGATCTGATATCTAATTATCAAATGCCATGCATTTAATGGACAGACATACTACATGCATGTATAAAAAAAATAGAGATTCTTTATCGTACTAATGTCTCATCCATCTGTAGGTCGACAGGCTATAAAGTGCGAGCCCTGTCAACAAATATAAATGAGTCGTAAAATATTTATGACAAAGAAAAAAACGAAAAAGAAAACCTTAAAATGTTTCAATACTTTTAGCGAATCCTTACCTAATTTTATCACCAATCTCTACTCTATATAGCTACCATACTATTGTGATTATGAATCTATTTTCTTCTAGACTCCAAGTTTGTTTGTTATTTATAGAAGTATTAGTACATTGTGGCACTACGAACCGCTTGTAGCTAATTTTTTAAAGAAAACCAGAGCAGAGGAAAATAAAAAACGTAAAAAATACGCACTACGACCTCAATTTCTCTTGTAAATTATTTCATTTTACTCTAAAGACAGTTGTTACTTATCGATTTGACATATTTACTGGCCTGTGACGTCACGATCAGCGCCATTACATAGAGCAGCGTTTTTCGCGCGCTTTTGGCTATTTAAATTTTAACAATTATTTTCACCAAAAATAGAAAAGATTCCAATGAAATATTATGACAGTATATTTATAATGTAGCAAACAATGATTTAAAATAGTTGCCAGTTACAGAATAAGAGAACTGACATCAAACAATAGAATCGATTGATATTATAGTATGTTATGCTATAGAAAGTAGGTACCTATCCATTTTAAAATACATATTAACTATAAATACTTATAACAGTATATCAATACTTTACCTTGCAGTCTTCGATCAATAATATGTGGGTACTATCGGGGTCAGAGTCTCAAAAATGGCCGAATACATAACACCTTACTTCAAAGTGCGGTCTTATTTTGTTTGCGACGGCGCCAACGTTGGGACATATTACAATGTCACAATGCGTATTAAAACTGCAAATATAACTATCGGAATAAAAATGTATCTGTGAGAGTATCGTATTTACAGAATCGTAGGGCAGCAGAGCGATCCGTAAAAATCAGAACCCAAATTCGAATTCACTCATATGTCCGAATCCACGTCATGTAGTGTAAAAATTCTATTGATTCCATATTTTGTATAAAAATACAAAACATTATTGATTGATTAATACGTATTTCATTATGTTCCTTGGTTGTCGCAGTTTATGGTGCCGGATTTGGGTATTGTTTTAGTATGCGAGGCGTTATTTATAGGTATGTATAATTGATCGAAGCCTTCAGAGTTATTTTTATCTTAGATCCTTCGATCAACCATAGATCGAAGAAACTATACTGAATGTCACTTATTCTAAGGCTAAGGATATACTCTATAGTTCATTCATTCTTTGATGCTGTTGTCAATCCCCTGTCACTGTCAGTAATGTCATTTTCAAAGAGATTATTGCTTTTTCGTCGCTTTCGTCTTTAGAATTATGTAAACGCGTGTGGAGACGAAACATTGTACAATAATTTGAACCTATTACAGTAGTCTTTTTTTAATTCGTCATGGCTAAAGACAAGAAAGATAACGAAGATGAATTCTCCGCTAAACTGGATATGTGCCTTACTGATGGCATAGTAAAAACCGGTAATAAACTTTGCAGTGTTATATTAATTTTAACCATCAGATGTTTAATAGTAAATCATCTTTTAATAACTAACCAATACTCATAATCTAACGATTGCAGCTTGTTCCACTGCCCTATATTTGCTATGATTTGGAGCACAGTAAATGAGAAACAACGGCATGAGTCCCGTAAATTGCTAATGCCCTGGAACCTTGCCTAATAACACACGCGTGACGTCTTTACAAAGTCACAGATAGCACAAAATGCAAGAGATAATTTATTTATTACATATTCTATTTCAATAATTATTAAATAACCTAATCCCCAAAATATTATTACAATTTAATCATTTTTAGTTTAATTTAAAGCAAGAATTTTCAGAGAGCCCAATTTAAGTGTTAATATTGAGGTTTATGATAAAGAAAAAAAAAATAGTTTGTAATAATGTTTTTTAAAACTGCAATGTTTTAAGAAAAATTTAAGATGTTAGATATATTTATTTTTAATGAAATCAGGTTTACTTATTGGGGAAATCAAAATAGCATTTGCTATTTTAGTCAACCATAGCAAGTAACAACAAAACATAACAATAATAATATAAAAAAAACAAAAATTGAATTCAACACAACCCAACTCAATAAGTGTACTCTTCAACCAGTGTTTACTTGTACCTATTTCTGAATACAATTACATCCTCAAAATGGCTGCCTGGCACATTAGCTATTTGCAGGGATTATAGTACACTGCACTCAGTGAAGATTAAAAATGTCCTTTACTTATCCTATAAATAAAAAATACCTGTTTGGTTTGAAATGATCATTGCATTTGGAATTTCAAGTCTTTTATAGATCTCCATGATTTTCAAAATGTTAATAAACTAATTTTATATATTAACCAACATTTTTGAAACTAACAATTTTTCCTTTAATTTAAACTAATTTATACTTCTTTTTTAAAGGGAGTGGTGTATTACTTGGAGCCTTAACTTCAGTTCTATTCTTCCGAAGACGGAGGTGGCCAATAATTGCAGGCATGGGAATGGGAATAGGCATAGCATATGCAAACTGCGAGTATGAACTCAATCCAAAGAAAAATGCAGCCTAAGACCTGTATTATGTAAGTAACCATGTTGCTACCCATTTTATTAGCATTATTTTTAATATTTATACCTATGTGCGATAGATCTTAAGTTGTTATTGTTATCCTTTCAGATGGTGGATAGTCAACTTGCATTTAAGTGACATTTTTGATCGATGGAGCTGGCCCTGTAGACATTTTCTTTAGAAAATAATGTAATTTGTTTGTGTACAAATGATTATCATGTTGTAATAAATGTGTTTTATTTATTTCATACTTTGGTTTTAAAATGAAATTCATAGTTTATAGAACACTATTTAATAATTTATTGTACAATTTGATAATGGAATAAACAAAGGATAGATTTAGTATTTCTTAATAGTAAAATGATTAAAGTATTACATCATTAAATTTAGTAAGAATAAGAGCAAAAGCTTTACTAACAACCCATGTATATATACAAAAAAATATGATTAACCACCATGACTGACTGGTTAGGAACATAAAGGAGTTTCATAAAATATTGAGACATTATCTGGAGTTTGATGATTCATTTAAGTGGTTATCACAAAAATTAAAAATCGTAATATAGTTCTCTTCCAAAAAACATATACACAGTTTGTCTTTTAAGGTTATAATTTAAAAAATGCATCATAGTTTCTTCACATGAAAAAACTTGAACTTGAAACATTGTCATGGAGATAATAATATAAAATAGAATCATACAGATACGGGTATACATTTAAAAAACCCAAATGAGGTAATTATGATTTTATATAGCTAATTAAACTACAGTGACTAATTATTTTACTAAAATAATATAATTTTAAAAATTTGACTAGCATAATATTATACCCATTGTTTAAATTAAATACTGTCTATACTACATTATAGATACCTAGAGAAAAAGTTTGATTACTGTTGATGAAATCGAAAATTGATGAAATCGAAACTACTGATTTATTCAATATAAGAAATTTCGACGTATTAATATTGAAGATGATTTTTTAGAAATATAATCTCTAAATAATCATTATAATATTATTTCTATGATATTGAAGATTAATAGCAGAGTTAAAATAAATTTTAATAATATTAAAAGTCTTAATATTCTGAAGTTGGGATGTGGAGTTCATAAGTGGATGTATTATTAATTATCCATCTGTGCAACAATAAATTGCTATGACAGATCCACAAAGTGCCATTGATTAAACGTTAAAAAATTAATGCAATAATATATTGTATACAAATAGGCACAAATACAATCACTATTGGTATATAATTGTTCCATTTGAAGTCTCTTATCGATAATCATATGGCAATAACAAAGCACAGACTCGCTTCAATTGTAAGATTTATGTATAATATACATATCTGGTAACACATTATGTCAACATACAAAATCAAGTATGTACTTAACTATCACGGCAATTAGGATTAAAATCAATTGTAGAAATAAAAGATAATCGCGGTCCCTATTACCGATACGTCCGACGCGGTCACAATAAAGTCTCACCTCACTCCTACAATAATGTCAGTCGAACGTAAATATTTTATGAAAGTTAACGTCAGCATAGTATAGTAGCATTCGTTCTATCAATATGCTGGATCAGCTTCAGAGTAGGAAGTAGGTTAACCTTAAATTTGTGTCCATCAATCAATATTGCAGTACTCGCGCTGCCATAATGACGTCAGCAAGGTAGCGCTACAATCGATATTCGACTCTTATTGTGTTGTGGTCTAATTAATTATAAATAAAGAGACAAAAATTCATTTAAATATTCGTAACATTTAAATAGAGCGGAACGGTCCTGGTGGACGCGATATTTTTATTCGTTTTATAAAAAAAACTACTACCGTCATTAATGTGACTTTTATTTTTCACCGATCATTAACCGAGTGATCACGCAAATTTTAAATGAAATAGTAATTAATTTAAAAAATATAACAACACGTAAATAACATTCCTTGAAAACAGACATCTTTATATACTTGTATTATTTACCATAATGTTAACTTTCTTTTCAATAAATCCTCTATTTGCAGTATAGAGAATTTATTTTCCAATAATAATCAATATATCTAATAAAGTATGTGTCTAAGTATTGTCTTAACTCCTAACAGGTGTGCAGTGTCCTAATATAATACTGACAATTATATTATAAATCTATTTTATATATTTTTATTGCGAAAGTGATTCTTCAAGAAAGCTAACATGAATGTAATCTTATTTCATTTGTAAACATGAGAATGAAAGACTGTGTAAATATATGACCACCATAGCCCATTAAGTTTGATATATGTTATGGACCAAGTGATAAATTAGGACAAAAAATTATTAATTTTTTTATACATAACACCCCGGATATTATAATAGTGCCGTAATAAAAACAAAATCCGATTGTCCTGCCCAATAGGTGACGAGAATAATATTTTTTTTTCTGTGGGTTTTGTCAGATTGTCCTCTCATATTCGGCATTATTCATATTGAACGGGCATTATTTATAATTGCCGATTAATCACTTTGTCCATGACATCAATACAATGCGCAAGGTGCAGCGTAAAAAACATTATTACCTATCATTTGTAACATTTTATCTCGTCTACATTTTCTCTATACTATTGGTACCTACAATAAAGGGTAAACTTCAGTCCGATCATTATGTGACAGGTATTCTATTTTTAGAGTTATTTCTATAATATAAGGGCACAAATAATGTACAGTTATTAAAGTGTATAGCTCGTTACTTAAAGCTAACAAATAATAAAATTCATCATCAGCTTCTGCACAGACGGTTGCTTAAGAAACGCCATTTACTGATGAGCTGATTCTAAGCATTAAATAAGGTTTTATTGCATTAATATTAACGTTGCTAACTGAGATAACGTTAAGGTATTATCCCGGTTGCTCAATTTAACTTGGATACCACTAATCCCCTACGACATAACGGTAACCAGAGACATTCTTATATCTACATTCTAATTCCGAGTTCGTGGTAGAGGTCTCGCCAAAATCAACTAGACTTCTAGGCGCATAAAGACCGCTGAATGCTGATGAGATTCTTACTATAGCTGCATACCTACCTACATCACGGTGCCGTATAATACACATAGAGCTCTCTACATATTTGTATAAAATTTAAAACATATTACAATATTTAATTTAATACGTAAATCATAAATTTGGCAAACAAGTAATTAAATTTTATTTGTATCTCATCAAATCCATTTTGTTACCCTCCTTTGGTTTACATCAGCGCTAAATATAAGTGTAAACATTTATAACAATAAATAAACAATCATTCCGGTAGCTTTAAAGGAACTACCGTGTTTCGAAATGAAAAACCGAACTGTCTCCATACATAAAACAGTATCAATCGAAGATAATTCATAAAAGTAGATCACACAGAAAACTAGTCGGAAACATCAACAAACGGGCAGTACGATATCTTAATTAAAACAAAGAACATAAATTCACAATAATGTCATCTCGAAAAGGCAGGGTCAAGAATGACGTCATATACCGAGACGGCAAAACTGAAACCGGCAGTTTGGGCATGTCGAAACAAATGTCGGAACCGGGCGCGGTACAAGCGCGGACACTCACTTGGTGGTCATGTCGGGCCAGTAGTTCACGTAGTACCGATGAGTGCTGCCTTCGAACAGGCGGTCCAACCAGTTCTCTAGACCATCCAGAAGATTCTCTGGAATAAAAATGCAAACTTTAGGATAATGCATCGTGGTTCTTGGGCCCGGCGCGGTCTCCTTGCCGGATCCCGAGTCCTTGCCCATGTCCTCTAAAACCGTCACGAATAGCGTTAAATTGAAATGATAATAAGTTCATTTGTTTTCGAATTTGGAATAGTGGGTAACTTTTGCCCATTTTTAGGTTAGCGATGATCCAGTATACTTTCGGAATGTGTAAAAAAAAAAGATTTCCCAAAAATATTGATTCACTACATAAAAGTTAATAATGACGTTCAAATGATATAAAATTTATATAAAACATTTAAGAAGCGCTAAAAAAAGGTTGGGGTAATAAAACTTTTTATACATGTTACCTTGTAGTAGTACTGGCGGATCTGGCGCCTCGTCAGCGGAGGAGGAGTCAGGTTCGGTGTGGAAGCCGATGAACGCGCCCGCCTCCGGGTCCCCGTCGGCCGCGCCCGCGCCCCCCGCGCCCGCACCCGCGCCCCCGCCCCCGCCCAGCGAGCGAGTCATTCGGGACATGCGCTGACCGAACAAATACCATTCTAGTACTCTTTGGAGGATCCAAACCGTAGGGCAAATGCGTCAGTGTCACTACCACTGTTCTAAGTAACATGAACAAAATTCGCTCGTGCAGAAAGAGCCAGCTAAACTCAATGTTACACGAATATCGACGCCCTCGAAATGTAGATTAATGTCCCGCTTGTAGTAGTGTGTGTGGATACTGCACGGATGGAACATTGCGAGCATAGACCGATAGCGAACGAGCACGGTTCGTGGGCAACAGCTGAATCTTTTGTGCCTTTCAAAATAACTGTTTCAAAGAAACTTTTGTATACGGAGTCATAAGTTTTAACTGTCGACTATGGATTTGTTTTATTTCAGAATGAATTGCTTCACATATTAATTCAAACAAATTTCAATGTTCAGTATGTTGTCATCTCACTAAAACGTAATCTTCCAACTTATAATAATAACAAACAGGTACAAGGTTCGTCGTCACAGTTTACACATACAAACATGTACTGCAGCACACGAGACGAACGTTCGGAAACAGGTCTCGGTACTAGTTTTTTTTAAATATATTCAGTGGCGGACTAATTTCATCTGAGGCCCGAGGTGGCAATATATCCAGATTGACAACTTTTTCCAATCAGGGCAAAAACTTGATACTACGTTTAACCCACCCCTTCATAATTTTTTTACTTTATTCTATTATTGATTCTGGCGGCTGCAGCTACCCATTTGGAGGCTAGGACCGGAGGTAAAGAGCGGACCGCCCCCCTCCCCCGTCCCCTTAGTCCACCACTGTATATGTTGCAAATGAACAGATCCAGGGCAGAGGTTTTAACCGGCTTCACACGGTTCTTCTAGAAATTTCTTCTCCAACAATGAAAACTGTCTGTTAACTGTTAATCCATTGCGTATTTTAGGAGGATTACAAAGCTGCCAGTGACGTAACTATACCGTTCGAGACCCGTGGCAAATTCCTCGGATATTAATTTTTTTGCTAATTGTGTAATAATAAATGTCCGGAGTAAGGAGTTCCCTCTGACCGTGGCATTGTGCCGACTTGCCACCCTATAGTTACGCCACTGAAAGCTGCCGTATTGTACGCGTGTAGTACCTTGTGTGGCTTAGCGCACTCTGGATGCTTGGCGTGGTATATACAGAAGTACTTCCGGTGCGGGTTGAGGGCCAGCACGGTGCCCACGCAGTTGCGCGCGTTCACCCGCAACTCGCCGCCGCCCAGCGACAGCTGCAGCACGCGCCGGAACCACTCGATGTTGCGCTCCACCATCAGGTACGCGAACAGGAGGGTCTTGTTCCTGCGTTACAGTTAAAGGCGCGCGCTGCTGTACTAGACGCCCCAGCGTTAACGCTTAATAGTAATATCCGTCGCGATTTGTTTATTCGAGGTCTGCACGACATATATATTTTTTCTTGGCCCAAAGGGAACGAATTAAATAATGAAAGGGGACATTCTTTCATTCGTGCTGTTACGATTTTTTTGCTAACCAAATACGTTAAATAAAAATTACGTTAAATAAATAGGACTATAGACAGAAATTTGACATTGACAGTAGGATAAATTCAGCTCGTAAATGTGATGACAGGTGTTCAGTAGTTGATTTCGGAGAAATACAACTAGATGAAAAAGTGGTACTTAAAAAATGTTAACATGCATGACAATTTATTACGATAGTTTGAATCCTACACCCGGAACATCAGCCAGGCTGTTTGCATTAAGGGTTACTGTTTGAGTTTCTTGCAGTCATCACCTGGAGTACATCAAGGGTCCATCACTACATATTATAAAACAAAGATCCCCGTCGCTTCTATTTGTACTTCCTTGTTTTCGCAAACTACATACTGCAAATAGTTATTTTGCTATAGAGGTCTATATCAGAAAATTCACAATTAAACAGGTGTTCAACTGCTCTCTTAGTCCCAAATCTGTACTAAAACAGTATAGTAAGCAACTAAAGCTCCTTTAAATTGGTATTTTATTCTAGTTTTAAACTGTGATTCTTGAAGTCAAATACATTTTTTTTCACATAGTTAAGTTAATTGTTCTGCAGTTTTCCTTCTCAACTGATGGTCATCAGTCATATAGTTATTGTAATGTTAAATGAATGAATACACACCTTAATAAATAAACAATACAAAATAATGTTATAATATAAAAATTAGGGACGTTACTCACTTGCGGTATGGCCACACGATCTTATGAAACTTGGACAACAACTGCACTCGACTCTGCATATCTACGAGCAGAACGATCGTCCGACATCCGGGCTTTAGTAATCTGTTAAACAAAACACTTACGTATTGACATCATGGAGATGGGAATGACATGTACATATAAATATGATCTCTAATGATTTAGTGTAGGATCGAAAATCGTGTGATTCACAGATACTTATTATGTGGATGTGTTCTAGTAAGTTTTCATTATTAACCCTGTATATTGAAAATAACAGAGTATTAAGTTTTTTTTTTCTTTTATTTCATTTGTCTGTAAATAATAGTAGATAAGCTATACTTTCTTAATAACTAATGACCAGTGGTCGGAATTAGGTAGAGTTATTCATGTACTTACACTGACTTCATACAGCTAAAGAATAAAGTGGATATGCCTCAAATCCCGAGATAAATTTTAAAGAGCAGAGAAAGTCCCGTGATTTTTTAAATAAAAAGTGATTTACATTACCAGCCCTTTTTATGTCCCCACTGCAGGGGCTCAGACCTTCCTTATGGATGGTTAAGGAGGATGGGCCATGACCCTCCACGCTGGCCCAATGCGGATCGGAGGATATTAACGACTGCCAATGCAGCCGGGACCAACGGCTTAACGTGCCTTCCGAAGCACTGAGTAGCTCGAGATAATATTTTTTTGGTCACACATCCCGTGACCGACCCTTGTGAAAGTTGCTTAACTACTACGATCGCGGGCCGCGGCGCTTATCCACTACGCCACCGAGGAACTCCCGGTTATTTATATAAAGTTATTTACTTTTACACAATTTAAACTACTGCACGCACGAAGTTGCCAAACTTACATCAATGAAAGAAAGAAGAAATAAAGAAATAACGAAATCCCGGGAAGGTCCACATTAATATCAACATTTCTATGCAAGTACATAACTCTACCTAATTCCGACCTCTGGTAATGACTTAATTTTAATAAATTATATTATTAAATACAATGAACGTTACAATACGCATCACCTAAAACTATTAATATGGTTCACTGATTACAGATTTACATTAAGACCTTAATTTCATGTTACCTGACAAGTCCGTTATATTTCTCAGCTCTCAATTCGTGCAGCCTCATCTCAGGCTGCGGTTCGTTGTTGTTCTTCTTTCCGTTGCAACTTTGCTTCCTGCGCTCTTCTTTCTGACGTCGCACTGACTCCTCCTCGACCCGACTGCAAAAGGATATGACGATGATAGTCATTTAGAAAGAGAAATGTTAATCAAAAAAACAAAAGCCACTAAGACTTATAACAAAAAAGACAGAGTATTCTGGTAGGGCCTGAAAATACCTAATTATGTGTATATTCACTCCAGGCGTCTTGTAGGGTAAGCAGAGATAATGAGCATCATAAGGCACTGTTTTAAAGTGTTATTCGTTTCGTTGACATTAATTACTCTTTTGATACATGCTCGTCGGTTATTGTAGCTTTTGACATCAATATTTGATAATGACAGCGTCAGACTGATCGTCGATTAGTGTTCAATCAGAAGCCACGACATAAACTAATCTCGTATTCTATTTTACATTCTTTTCGACACTCGAAGAAGGGATGAAATGAATGTAAATAAGAGTGTGATGGAGATGAATGTCGATAGAGCGAGAGCTCTCGCTTGGACAACCACAGAAAAGATGGATAGATTGTGTGAGGCATGACATGAAAGTGAAGGAATGAGCGATGAGATGACGGCGGACAGAGGGGAGTGGAAGGGCCCGGCCCCTCCCGGAGGCTACTGGCAGCGGGTTTTCCCAGGTACGCCAGCCTCGCTTAAGCCTGTCCTGATGAAAAAAACAACTTAAAATGGGTACGCACATGAGGTACGCCATCAGGTACCCGGCGGCGAGCACGAGCGCGCACGTGGCGAGCACGGAGGCGGCGGACAGCGCGTGGTGCGTGCGCAGCGCCTGCAGCGCGCGCTCCGCCCACTCGCGCACGCGCGCCGCCGCCGCGCCCACGCGCCCCACGCCCGCCTCGTCCACCAACTCCTGGGCACCCCAGATGAGAAACATAGCTGAATAGGCTAGTTGTCATTTTTATATTTTACAAATAAACAGTCCATTCTTATTTGAGAGATACTGCGATTGATAGTTCCAGAGATACGGTTCTATGTTTGTGGAGCTGCGGCCAGTCGGCCGAAAAGGCTCCCTACAAATTCAAGCCACTGAGTGAGAACAAACATTGCTACGTACTGTAGCGAAAAACGTATGAGCGTCTGGGCACTCTTTGTTATTTATGTGTTTGTAATGAAGTTTATCACATTTTATGTAAATAATTTAATGCCATATGTATTGTTGCAATTTTTAATATATTTTCCCTACTTTTGTCAAGTTTTCAAAGCGTAATATTTCCCAAATTAGTGACATAAAATTTATTTTGTTAAATATTTATAAGTTAAAATAGTTCATATTTTCCGAACAGATACCTGTATTTTCACTTTATACTCCTAGCAGTTCGAGAACTGTTCTAACATTCAAGTGCTCATGCAGCTCACTGGTCTTTATGCACCAAGGGGCGTTTAATAAGTTTCTAAGGATTTGTATGATTGAAAAGAGCAGCAATATCATTAGCATAAGTAGCGGAAACTACATGTTCAGTTGTATGTATATCTGCCGTATACATAAGATAAAGGATCGGGCCAAAAACTGCTACTTTAAAGGGTTACCCTTATCCGTAAAATATGAAAATGACATGGGATAATATTTGTCGGCTACTAGCGTATGTTCGTGTGACCGAACGTAGGTTGCAGTCAATGCAGTCTTAGCAGATTTACATTCTATACATATTGATGTTCGACATGTTTTAAATTTCCCTAAAAGCCAGAAAAATAAGATTTCTCTAATAAAATAAAAAATTAGTTTTTTTACCGATTTGAAAAACTTAAAAAATATGTTTTTTTATTATTATTATTGAAGGCTGGCGGAAGGCTACTAAAATTGATTGACGTTTACGATCATGAGAGTCTTTGCTTAAAAATTGTAATCTTTTAATGACATTATCAATTGCAATAAATAATTAATAAATGTAATTGAATATTAATACACTATTCATGTAACATACATGTTCTTCTGTCTACAGTTAACTCGGGGATTGTGACTATAGTTATATCAGTGCTCTCACCTGCACATGAGCTTCATAAGCCAACACCTCGTTCGGCTTGAGCAATCTCTTGATGAGCTGTTCCAACGCCCTCTTTGTCTCGTTCAATCGCTCCTGATACTTGAGCAGCTCTTCTCTCAGCACGGGGTCAGACGGGTATTCACCGGTAACACAGTGTTGGTGCGCGCACACCGGCCATGTTTCGTTCAACCATTCATACTGTATGCGAGTAGTCTCCCTGCGCCATATTATTACTACCCGATGCTCCATTTGAGATGAATCGGTTCCTGTGAACCGTTGCAATTAAATCGATTGTTGCATTTAGCTGTGCGGTAGGATAATTTTAAGCAAGAATCTGATCTGAAGAGTCTTTCTCGTAAATCTGACGTTTACATTCGCCAGATTTAACTGAAAGCTTGTTTACCAGTGGCCTATTTCATAGAGATCTATTTGGAGATCTTAAAGTTGTCAGGAAATAATAAATATTTAAACTGCTGTAGAATTTATACCAATCAATGATAACATCAGAAACATGATTGGACATAAGTGGGAACCTTGGCGAACACCTTGTAGAACATGATATTCATATCAGCAAGGGATTAATTTTTGAAAATTCTGAGTAAAATACAAACGAAACCAATTTAAACGGCAATCGTGGATAACGGGTAAGCGAATTTTGTTAGGTAGTAGTGAACGATTAATCTTATCGAATGCTTTGTACATTTCATTATAAACGGTGTCTATCTGAACGACCCTGATCAAGATCATAAACTATATCATTACTAACATATGAGAGATATGTAACCGTGGACATTTTCTGACTAAAGTCATGTGTTGTATAAGAATGGACTTAAAAAACGTCGCAAAATGAAAACAGACAAATGATTGAAAAACCTTTGAAAATCCTGACAATAAAGAAATGAGTTTCTAACTATCCACGTCATTTGATCAACCTACTCGTCTCAAAGGAAAAATAGCCGAGGTTGGTGGGTCGAGACCCCAAATTAAGGAACTAGTAGAAATTGTGTTGACATTTCAATTGAGACTATTATAAATAATAATATTCGTTTCAGGAGCCCCAAGGTAGGGTATGCTGTGAAAATAAATACTACTTGAATGCATTAACATGACAGCCGAAGAACTATTCTGTTATATGATATTTCATCTAATATATTTTCAAAATGCTTAATATGTCCTCAAAAAAAAAAGTACTTTTCGATAACTTATGATGCAACGAAGGTAAGACCTGAAATTTCCTCTTATGCACAGATGATTTTCGCACATATGATCTTAACAAGAAAACGTTTTGAAAATTCCGAATTCCTGTACTGTGTCAAAATTTTAGTCCAGAACAGCTCGTCTAGTAGTATAGATAGAAGCAGTGTTGCCAACCCCAAGAAACTAGATAACGATAGCACACCGATATTAAGAGAAAACATTAGGTAAAGTAAAAAGATACATATTTTCCTTTTTCATCCTCAATTGCCTCATTTTCCTTTTTAAAGCCGTATATATTTTTTATTATTTCTTCATGTGCCTTTATATGGTTTCAAACGATTAGCAATCGGTTATTTCGGTAGTGTAATAGGTGGCGTTGGAACGCTAATTAAAAACAGTTAAAATTAGGAATGAAACAGAAAACAGGGGCGTCAATAGGTAAAAAACAAATCTAGTGTTGTAGAGTTGGCAACACCGCATAGAAGTGTCGCGTGCCAGCGTACCTGCGCCGGGCGCGAGCGCGTGCAGGAAGTCCGGCTGCTTGTGCGCGTACACGTACGCGTAGTGCAGCCGGTCCGCGTGGTGCGAGTGCGCGCGCGCCAGCCCCCGCAGCGCCGCGCGCCCCCCCGCCCCGCCCACACCCGCCACCAGCACGCAGCACAGCCGCCGCCGCGCCGACCGCCACTCCACCGGGCACACGCTCTCCAGCATACTCTGCCACACACAACGCTCCCTCTCGATTTGACGCCTTCACACTTTGAAGCCATTGAAAAATGTGAATAGAACGCTACCTCCGATCTTTCGACGGGTTTAGCTAATAGATTGCAACTTTAAACGTTACATAATTCCATACACCGCTATAACACTCAGATAGAAAAAATTAAAACCAGACAGTTAGCCCCCTGGCCCACCACAGATACGCTACACTGTAGCATGGTCGCCGAACAGAAAAAAAATGTATGTTACCCTCTGTGCCTCCTGATAAATATCGTCAACATTTAAGGTTCACTTTACAATGATAAGATTAACTAGATAGATGTATATGTGCGAGCGCAGTAGCGATGTGTTTGGGCAAGCGTGATGAGCTTCGAAATTATCCTGTACGGCGACCGTGCCATATAAAGTTGTCTAATGTATAAAATTCTCGTGTAACAGTTCTAGTTGCCGTACTCCTCTGAAAAGGTTCGATTAATTTTGATGAAATTTCATATGTATATTCAGTAGGTCTACTAAGAATAGATTGTTTTTTATTTTTTATACCACATGTATATAGGAACACAAGGTTAGCTTGGTCAGCTAGTAAATTTATAAACATCGCACTGTACTTCGAGATAAATTATGGGCATCGGAAAAGATCGCATATAATTTTATTCCGTGTAACTACATAAACTGTATGAACGCAGCCCTATATCATTATACAATGTACATGTTTCGACCATCTTCGTAAACACGAGGTTAGCCGAGGTTATTTGTCTTAAACCACTTACAGACGCATGATGCCTGGATAAAAAAAAGCTATTGATCAGTTAGATAACAGAAAAATATTAGATACGCATTTTTTTTTGCTTCAAGTTAACAAAAAATGGCTTAGATAATAGTAACAGGACAACTATGTAGAAAATGTGCAAAGGCGTGACGTCATGTGACATTTCAATTAATCGCCATAATTTATTGATTACGCAACAAAATATGTATTTAATATTCTCGAATTATCTGTCTGATGGACAAAAAAATAACATTATTACTATACCGTATTTATGTAATCGAGACTATAAAAAATTTCATTTCTTAGTAAATATATACAAATATCTTATTCAACCTTATCTCAAAAATACCTGTGAAGAGAGTCTGGGTAAGGTCAACATCTGGTTTGCCTCTATGAGCTGGTGTAGGGTCTGTGTAGGTATCTCTGTTGTGCTGACGGTAGCGACCGGCTCTTCGGAGTCCTCCTTCAAGAGAACCATGGTGTCAGTTTGTCGCTGGATCTTGTAGCGAGCGGTCACGTTCTGCGTGTCGCGAGCGGTCATGTCCACGAACCTGTTAGAAATATTTTAATTTATACAAATAAATTATTGCTTTGGATGTTCGTGCACACAATCTAGAAATTATGTACAAACTTCTTCATTTATTTCTTAATCATAGAGAAAAGATTAAAAAGGTGATACATAGACACAAAGAAATATTTGCCAGACTATACTTTAAAAAAGACACCAGATGCTATATTCTATAACTTGCATGTACTAAGTTAATAAAGGTTAATGCACACAAAATCGACGGCTTTCAATGGTTGGCCGATATAAAAAAGGGGATCTACTTTGTGTACCACAGTGTACACTTCGTACATTACCTACAAAATACAACAATAAATAACTTCGACAATAGAACTGTCCATCGTGTTCAGAGGCAACCACAGTATAAAATGTTTACAGCGTGGAATTGTGATGATTCATTTGGAGTTGGAGGGCACCCCTCAGTTGCGTACGAATATAAGTGGCCGAACATCTGCGTACAAGAACGCCTCCATAAACGTGGATCTGTTATAATGCGTACTAGTGTGCTACTTTTTAATCGGCAAAGTAAGAAAGCTCATCGATAGATGTGCACCTACCCTAAAATTATGAGATTGTAAAATGACAATTAGAGAAAAAATTTCCTTTTCACCACAATTTTAAGATAAAAATCTGGTGTTGTTACCTCCGAATATTTCAAGAAAATATGTAAATTTTAACTTTAACAGTAAATACTGACCCAAATGCGACTCTGTCTCTGTAGCGGAATGCAGCAACTAGGTAACGAAGACGGATGGTTTGCCGTTCTTCAAAGATCAGTGCCTTCACCTTGTTATCCTCAAAGTCTGACACGAAGGGCTCCACATTGCCATTGTTAATACTACGCACAAGCTTATACGGAAACTTCCACCGCATGAATTCTAAATCAAAGGAATTATGTTTTTTATTAATGGTCTTTATAATCTAATAATTGGATTATTAATAAAAGTAAGACTACAGGTTAGTTGCAATTTATGTAGATGAAATAATTTAATATAATAATAATCACTTTATTTTTGTCACAATAAATATATATATATATATATATGGGAAATAGGGTTGTTTGCCCACTATAACATTTCATTCATACTATCATACAGTTACACTAAGACAGACACCAGTAACATAGATCGCAAAGTTGTACTTTTCTACTTAGCTTTTACGATACTTAATGAAAAATATTTAAAAAATCCACTTAGTCCGTGGCACCCTGAGATGGGATCCGAACCCATGACCTTAAACTATTTGGGCGACTGTATATATAGACTATACATAGCATCGTGAATGCGAAATTGATCAAATATAATAGATTTTAAGATGTTATTATATAAATAAAAATCAAATAACATCACACACATCGATCTGATTCCGAGGTAAGTTGCTTAGGCACTTTTGTTACGGATATCAGAAACAACGGGGGGAATACAAATAATATAAATAGAAAACACCCAGACACAGAACAGACATAATTGTTAATCACAAAAATGTTTGTCCTGGGTGAGGATCGAACCCACGACTCTCGGCGCAATAGTAGGAACGCTACCACTGCGCTATTGAGCCCGTCAAATTATGACATCTGTGTGAGAGAACAAATACAGTCTTATTGGTTTTGATTTGATACTATGCCATTGGTAACGAATGGTCTAGTGGGTGTCAAAGAATAATATTTTTTAATTGGTTTATTAACTGAACAGATAACACAAGGTCATAGTATGCAATTGATTACTTATCAGTTATAACAATAAATTATGTAAAATATTGGCAATGGTAACTTTTAAGTAAACAAAAATTATATAGTGTTTTTTTGTTTTAAAATAAATTAACTTGTGATTTATGATCTGTGGATTAGAAGAACCTAAATGAGTGCTGCATCATGTGATGTCGCATTTCAAAATGGTGGTTGTGAGTGCAACTAGTACTCATGTTCATTGAAATGTGACGTCACGGCTCTAATTGACACGTGACTGATTGTTTTGGCGGGACATTTTAAATTAATGAATACAAATATTTCCTTTATTTAATAAAACTTTTTGGAACTTTGAGAACTTGAAGAAGAAAATCTGATAATGGTTTTATATGGTCATACTAACGTTTTAAGATACTTTTCTCAAAATAGTAAAATAGGCCATGGATCTGGTGTAATGAGTAAGTAAACCCTTTTGTATGGTAATGGTATGGCACCAAGATGTAATGGAAAAAGTACATTAAAATGTAACTATGTAAGAGAAATGCTATGCAATCATACAATCACGTCTCAATTTGTTATAAAATTTAACTAGAACTTTGATGATGTTTTCTCTTACCCAATATTTTCGGCATCGAGGATAAACCTTCCTTATATATGTACACATGTTTATCCAGTACTAATGTGAGGCACGGCACCTCGTGCACTCCCACTCGCCTGGCGAGGTTCCCTTCGTGTCCCGCATGGACGGTCGCTAAGGTAACACCAAGAGGCTGCAAAGCATCAACCAATCTTCTCCATGCGGCAGCAGATCGTACGCAGTCGAAACACCAATCCGTGTAGAAAAGAACAAAAGCGGGTGTGTGGATGCTTTTTTCGATTATATTATTTTCAAAGTGTCTGTAACAAATGTAAATTAAGTATTCTTGTGAACATAGAGTTTAAGAGTCAAGCAGAAATGAACAAAGGCAAACTTGTTTAAACATTGTTATTTAAATGAATCTGAAATTAAATAGGTATAGTTTTATAATATTTTGTTTTGACAATAATTGTCATTGCTTGTTGGCAGAGATTTTAGTTTCTATATTGTTTATTAACTGTTATGTATTTTCTATAATTTTAAATGGCATCTCAAAACCTCCAGGAAACATATTTAAAAAAAAATGATTTAATAATAAGTGGTAAAGTATGTGAATACACAATATGACTTAAAATTAAGTTAACTATTTAGGTAACTACTTATCTACTTAATGTATAAACCAATCATTACATACACAATTTATTACTAATTATATTATAATCAATTTATGATACATACTATTAATCTGTTTGTTATCAAAAACCTCAAAGTAGTGTTATGAATAAAAATTAAAGGATTCTCACCGTGATGTCACTGAGAGCTTGTGGAATAATGTGATATCTTGATCTTGAGTTCGGAAGTGTGTGCCAAAAAACTCTTCAAATGGATCATTGCTACAAAAATGTAAACATAAATGAATCAAAATCTGTTCCCGAAGGAAGCTATGTCAGTAATTATTTATATTTTAAATTAATACAGAAGACAAATCTTAGCCAAATAAAAATAAAACAAGTAATTGTTTACACACAGTTCAAATAATATTATGCTTAAAAAGTAGTTTAATTTTTTTTACTTTATTTTTATAATTTTTAATGCTGAAACCATAAATTTATAGTGACAAAGCATATACCAGAAACCTTGTAATCTATTAAAACAAAATTTTGCAGATTAAATTCTGTATGCTGGTTGCATATTTTTTATAATATTGCATCAGAAATCTTCATTGCATTAGAAATCTTGAATTTACAATAAAGATCTGTGGTGTGTGGCATAAATTCAAAGACAAAAGTAAAATGTTAAATATAAATAATGGGGATTATCAGAGCTGGCAAGTTATTCATGATATATTTAAGAATCGTTCAATAAATGTAGTATTTCTTAACAACTTCAAATAGTAATATTTCCTTTAGAATTATGCATAAAGTTCTTATTTAATATTGGATATAATAAGGAACATAACATTCACATAAGATCTTACCTGAACCTGGCATATTGGCTATAGTCATGTCTTTGTTTGTACATATGGTTATCCTCATTAGTGATTCCATACAGGTCATAAGCCTGTCTCCTCTCTGTATCAGACAGCAGTTCATAAGCCTGTTTAATTTCTACAAATCGAGATTCAGCATTCAGATCTTCATTTTTATCAGGGTGCCTGTGAAATTGATAAATCCATTTGAATATACAGGTGATATAGGTATGTGATATAGGTGTAGGTTATAATTCGAAATGCACCAATTATATGTTTGATATTTAATATAATATATATTTTGATTCCAATATCTTTTTACTATTCGTATTCTGCCGAATTATGCAATTAAACTTAAACTTTAATTAAGAATTTATTATTGAGTGTGTTTATGTGGCAAAACAATGAAATGGTAAACCTAATAATTTGAAAATATTATTTTGGTTTTTCTGTGAACCCAATATTTGGCACATCTCTAGTGATTACATGATATTCAATTAGGTATCAATATCTATAACTATTACTATCTAAAACAATATGTAAGTTTTAATTGGCCTACAAGAGCAGAAAGCTATATATTAGAAATATGCAGTATGACCATAATCAATTCAATTATAATTGTAGTTTCTAATTTTGTCAGTCCTTCTAACATATTGGAAGCAAACACTAACGCTGCTCATTAACACACACCTTGCACCAAACTTACACTGAAATGGTTAAGAAACTGACATGTCAAGACATTCCACAAAAAATATGAAAATGTATTGTAAGAAAATAAGTTATTATAGTAACATATATATTACTTCTCCATATTCAATGATAAAAAATAATGAATTACCCAAATAACTACTTTTTTTAAGTTTCAATATAGTTTTTATCACAATGAAAAGCAATTTAAATTTATAAAATTACAATAACTTAAATTGTGGTAGTTATACTGCTCATTGCAAAGACATCCATTAAATTTCTCACGAGTTTAACTTATACAAAATTTTCAAATTTAGAACATTCATTAAAGCTTAATGTCATCATTAATTAATGTTTTTGCAACTGCTGATTTAGATATTTAATTTCTATTAATGAATTTCAAACATGAGAACCCTTAATAATCAATTTAATTTAAGGTATCACATTGTTTTAGATTTCCATAATACAAGTGCTTTTGCTACTTAATTTATACAATCTGAAAAACATATTTAATGTTGTCTCATATAATCTATTAATTAAAATAGAACATACCACTCTTTCGCTAGTTGCCTGTAAGCCTTACGTATTTCGGGAAGGGTGGCTCTGCGGTGTATACCAAGTATCTTATACGGATCACCTATTTTTTGAGCCACGATCAATGGCACAAGAAATATCACCCACAGCACAAAAATCCATCGTTCTTTCCAACTTTTGTATTTCCATTGCATAGTAGACACAGAGTTCAGTTTCACCTTTCGAAGAGCTCTCACACTACTCAAAGAACATCTCTCATTGCGATACTCTCAAATTGCTGACATAAAATATAACTAACAAAAATTCACGCATAGAAATAATAGAATCTCTTATCAATCATCCGTCTTAAAATAGAACTGTTGAAAATATAAGAATCCTAAAAATTCGCAAGAAATTCGGAAGAATGACAGACGAGGCAATCTCAATATCTCAATTCCCAACCACGGGCAGTAATCTTCATAGAAAAAATGTTAACCTTATGTCTATGGTTCACATATCGTAAATGACAGTTCTTTTTCCCCTCCTCCTCTACTTCTTTCCCCTTTCTTATCTGTTGTAAACCAAAGACAAACTGTCATTACAGTTTCGAATTTGTTTGAGTGAAGTTTTGCGTTGATTTATTTCCGTAACTTATCCTCCAATTTCTGAAGCTGTAATAACATCTTGCACCATGTACAATAAGTGCTGTGTTGTGAATTGTGTTAGTAGGCGAAAGGACCTCAATTTTCATAAGTTTCCAAAATCTGAGATAGGACTCCAAAAGTGGTTACAAAGTATTAACTGTGAAAAACTGCGTAGCTTGAGCTTCCAGCAGCTTCAAAAACAATTTGTGTGTCAAAAGCATTTTGAGAAAAGATTTCTCGCACCGACACGTGATAGAGCTCGACTGCGGCCTGATGCCGTCCCCACGTTATTTACAGCTAACGAGATATCCAGTGGTGTTCCTCAATCCAGCATTGTCACCCCGGATCAAACAAGTACGTATAAGTTTTGTCATTTACATTTATATAGTACAGTAGAATCCCGATTATCTGGACACATTCATTTTAGCTTTAATTATCAACAATAAAGATTTTTTGAAGATACAACGAGACATGTTATGAAATGTTTATTTCTCCGACCGTGATTGTGATCGTCCGATCCGATTGTGTACTTCAGCTGTCATTTATTTGCAATATAGTGTTTGTATTGTTTAATTTTTTTGATCTGTAATACGGATCTTAAAAACCTACACAGGCACCAGTCTCCCACATGTGACCTAATTTCTAAATATACTGTTAGCGTCTTTTTTTTATATTGTGTCATTGGTGGTGAGAAATAAATTATTTCGTTATTATTATAGCATTCAATTGATAGGTTGTCATTTTCGCATCTATAACATCTCACACAAAGCTTCTGAACCTCTACGTGTTGTTTTGAAAGACACAATAAATCATATCCCAATCAGTTACAACTAAACCACATCAGAGACGGCCATAATGAAAAGACATGACTCATTACATCCAAGCATAATTATACATTACATAGGTATTTGTCTAATTCATTACTGATACAGCTTGTTTTTATATATTGTATCATCTAAGCAATCTGTTTATTTTTTTAAATCTAAATACCTTAACTGACACCTTTTTCCATCTAACAACAACTGTCAATCTAGATATAACTTATTGTGTTATGTATTGCTGTCTATTTTGTCCTTTGTAACAAAGAGTAACAAAGAAAATAATATAATTTATTATATTTATACTTTAAATTTTCAGGCTGTGTTCATAGTGATCATAATTATATTAAGAAACGATTGCACTTTGATCATAACTATTGCAAACCTGAAGTTATCGAGAAACGGCCAAGAATTAATATTGGTAAGTCATTTTTTCTTTTTTCTCTTTTCCTCTCTCAACCAGCCCATTTGTTCATTATTTAAAAAAAATGAGTTGAGTGATTGTTAAAGATACTCTCAAACGTAAACTTGACTAACAAAATTGTTATCGTTAGTAACACTCTGTGTATATTTTTAGTATATTTTACCCGATGTAGTGACTTTTGACCCTAATTCAATTTAATTGCCTGTTTCTAAATAAATTTTACTTTAAGATCTTTTATTATTATCTGTAGTGATTTTGTGTATTTATTCAGAAAATATGTTTAAATAATAACAATTTAATAGATAAGATACATAAATAGATTTTCTTTAAACAATATGTTTCTTTGTTTTGCAACAGATATACCATCTGCATCTTATGCTGTGGAGAAAATTCCTGTGGCTAACATTGGAGGTAAAAATATTACTTATTTTTAATTAAATTACCTTATAATAATATATATTTTTTTTATGAGATTTAATTTGTAAAACCTTGGCCCTTATTCGTAAAACCTTACTTTCCGCACTCTTATCTTAAATAACTATTAAAGTTTATAAGTAAATTTTATATCTTAGATTTTATTTTGATATTCAGATGCTGTACCAATAAACGTAACACCAAGAAGACATACAAGGAGACGTTTGTTTCAAAAGTTAAAATCTTTAACACCAAATTGTCATCGAATTTATAAGGAATACTGTAAATCGAGGAAGCAATTAGATTTCAGTCGAAGAGCAAGAAGAGCCATGAAATTTAATGCTGATAATTCATTTGATAAGCTGACACAGGCAATGAACCCCTTAGCAAAAAAAATTATTTGGATGCAAGTAAAGCAATGTACTAAACAAAGCAAAGGTCGAAGATTCACATTAGAGGAGAAGATTATTGGGCTCTCTATTATGAAACAAAGCCCGAAATGCTATAAATTTCTCCAAAAAATTTTTATATTGCCATCAAAAACCACTCTAAACAAAATGGTATCAAATTTGAATATTGATGCCGGTATTAATCCTCAAATATTTCAAGCCATAAAGGAAGAGGTATGCATGTGTTATCAATATAATAATTTAGTCATAATCTATTAAACTTTTATCAGAATATAAATATCAGAAAATTTTATATATATATATATATATTGACCTGGCTTTTCTGTAACTTCTGAGGACCAATGAAATAAATTGTTGTAACTCATTTTTATAAATCACTAATCCTTAGTCCATTGCTATATATATTTTAAATTAAAATGAAATCACTGTCTTGCTTTTGCTTACTGAATATAAAATAACAGTTTATCTGTACAAAATCAAGTCCCAAAATGCAGCTCAGTGGAGATTGCCTATATTGACATTTCAAAATTAATAGCAAATATGAATAAGGGATTTTGTTTGTCAATTCAAATAGGCTAGCTGAACCAAACCTACTTGCATAAGTTTTTTTAAAGTTCTTATACTACTCTAGTATCAGAATCATTCAAAGTATCAAAAATGAAAATATATAATTAAAAAGATGCATCTACCCAGAATGTCTTAATATTTGTAAACTTTTATTGAGTAATGATGTATTTTACCCATTTTATGTATTGATTACTTTTCAATTTAACCATTGTTTTAATATCAGGTTGACACTTGGGAGCAAAACAAAAAATACTGCACCATAATATTTGATGAAGTGGCATTGGAGGCAGGGCTACAATATAATAAACACAAAGACACAATTACTGGTTTGGTTGAGGTGGGTGATATAAAAACCAATGACTTTGCAGATCATGCACTAGTGTTTATGATAAGAGGAGCACTTTATAAGTGGCAGCAACCTGTAGCCTATTACTTTTGTAAAGGTGCTACATCTGGTGTGCAATTAAAAACTATCATCAAACAAATTGTATCTGCTGTGAGTGATTCTGGGCTTGCACCAGTAGCCCTTGTTAGTGACCAAGGCACAGCATTCCGCTCTGCTTTAAAGTCACTACAAGAAGATACAAGACGAGAGCAATTACAAGCTGGTGATCTAGTAATCAGTAAGTATGCTAAATAATACTAAATAATAATAATTTAAATTGCCTGTATTTAAATTTAATAATTAAATTAATATGATATTTGCATGCTAGTGTAATAGCTAAGTGAGCTGAACTATAATTGTCTTTCCTTCTTTTATTATACCTCATTTAATAGAAAATAAACTATTACTATACTATATGTAAACCTCATAGTATCGTCGAACTTTGTCTTCTATAGCAACAAATGTTTGATTAAAATTTAAAAATATTAATAATGTTTAGTTGCATTTTAGTAACTTAACAATTTAATATTAGTTTTTTTATTATGTTTGATAAATTTTGCATTCACAATTTTTTAAACATTTATAATTAAGATTTTTTTTTTCAGATGATGTCATTATTCTTAAGGATCACACTCTAAGTGTCATATTCGACCCACCTCATCTTCTTAAGGGATTAAGAAATAACTTTTTAACAAAAAATATTACATTTCAAGGAAAAATTTCGAAATGGGATGACATAGTGGAAATATACAAAAGGGATTGTAATCATGCTCAAATGAGGCTACTGCCAAAACTAAATGATGAACATGTTATACCTGAAAAAATTAAAAAGATGAAGGTGATTTTATGAATTCAATTTAAGTCCTATATTATTTAACTGCATAAATTCACTATGAATTCTCTATAAAAATAATGTATCTTTCTAGGTAAAAAACTGTGCACGCGTGTTCAGCAAGTCAGTAGCAGCAACATTGACTTATACTTCAGAATTTGGTATGCTAAATAATTTTTTCATTGTAAAAAAAGAAATTTCCTTTGTCTACAAATCGGAAAAAAAAGACTTATTTATATTAAATAGCTCTTATTGTTTTAGCCCAATATGCTGACGGAACAAAAGTTAGTGCAACATTAAAAAATACCGCTGAGATTGTACACTTCTTCGATGACTTATTCGACTCTGTGAATGGAGCTGCTAAGTGTAGCAAATCGTCAAAGGGGAAACCTTTACGGAAAGCTGTAACAGCAAATAGTCCACACCATGAGTTTTGGAAAGAAGCAATAGAAAAGTTAAAAAAAAAAAATTTATAGATATCAATGGCAAAGAGACTGTTGTACCCTCATTAAAAAACTGGATTACAACTATAGAAAGTTACCAAAGGGTGTGGCAATTTTTAAAAAGTAAAAATATTAAAGTTATGCGGCCAAGATATTTTAATTCTGACCCAATAGAAAATTTTTTCGGTCAGGTCAGGGCCTATAATTTTAGAAACAATGATCCAGATTGCCACACCTTCAATTGCACTTTTAAATCACTGCTAATCACAAGATTTATA